GCAAAAGCCCTAACAGAAGGAGGCCTATGTTCAGCCGTGGACAATTAACGGCTGATATGGTATGGTATAAATATAAATATATCCGACCGATATGAGCGATATCAAAATGGGTGATGACCTTTTTCCTGCCATCAATGTCCAGAGAAACCCAATATATAGATATCGGATCTGTATACATAATATCCATGCCTATGAATGATTATCTGCGAGGCAAAATTTAGGTACATGTTAACAAATAGTGTAGACTCCTAATGACCTCTCAATAAAGCAAACAGGTTACACAAACACCTTCCACCTTGAACTGGGGCAAAGCCTCGGCTTTGACCTCAAAAGACCTCAGAACCAAGGCCGTTGAGGTCGGTACAACCCGTTCGGTGGCCGAAATGCGTGACCTGCACCGACCTGGATGACCTATATCCAAGTTCGAGGTCACATCCGATTTCGGGAGAGGTCAATGCAATCATTAATTATGGCGAATTCACCGGCACTTTTTAATAAATCCATGCACAGGTTATTTTGAACACTGTTTCCTATTGCGCAACTTTACTGGTTTTAATGTATTTTTAATTTTAATTATTTTTCCTATTGCGTAACTTTACTAATTTTAAGTTCTTGTTTCGCAACTCATTTGAATTTAAGTAAATTTATTTCTTACTTTCTCTTCCTATTATGAATTCGTTATAAAATTTACAAGATAACTTCTCGAATCTGCGAAGAAACGTTAGTATTAAATACAGCTATCAATCTCGGTCAATACCACAGATAATAGATAAGTGAATGAATGTCAAAATCGAGGCTTCACTGCCGTATTTTTGAAACAATTACAAGGAGAAGATTCTGAATTGGGCTGTAATTTTTTGCGTGTATATTACACGATATCTGTTATTTCAATATCGATTTAAACATTACTTTTTGATATTGACAGTTTCCCCTTGTGTTGATTTAAAAAAAAAGGTGGATAATATATAACAATATCTATGTATTCCTATACCATTGTGTGGTCCCCGCATAGAATAGGCCACCCCTTCCTTTCCCGTAGATGTTGGAAGAGGCGACTAAGGGAACTTAATGGTCGACGGATGAACAGCAGCGTCCCTCTTCAAATATCACCAAAGTTTAACTTAACTGCAGCTAGTAATCCATCTGCCAAGCGTGGCAATTACTGGATATTACTATACTACTTTGATCTAAATTAAACTATATGGACTAAAATAAACTGAACCTATATGGACAAAATTTCTATGGGACCAATACATTTAGTTAAAAAAAGGAATTTTCCAAATCGGTTTACATCTGACAAAGTTAGAAGGTAAACATAAAAAACAACCGAATTGAAAACTGCCTTATTTTTATAGTGACTTGGAAATATGTCAAAAAGTAACAATGATATTGCGTGAACCCACACAAGAGAAATAAAATTACAAAATACAGTAGAATTTTTGAGCTCGCTTAAAATACCTTCACTTCACTTTCTCATGAGTATTGCTTTCAGCATGAATACGAAATTGAAAAACGTTTTATTCCGCAATAATTTAATATTCAAACGAAATATACGCTATCCACCAAAGATAATGTAACCCCTGTCCAATACAAATCATTCGATTCAGAGTGTACCCTCCGAAACAGAACTTGTGGGGGGAATACAGGCCTTTCAAGACGGCCACGTGCCTGAAAATAGGTCATCCATTGTGGCATGACAATTACAATATATCTATCCTTTTCTTTGATTTATTTTTTCACAAAAGAAAAAGAGGGAAGTCCGTTTTATGTAGTTCCCCTCAGTTATTTAATGATAGCGTTCAGATAAGTAGTTCGCTATTTTTAATAAGCACAAATGTTTTTGTGAAATGTAAAAAATATAAGAGTTGGAATGTACTAATTTTTTTTTTTATTTACTCTGTATTGAAATGAAATTAAACGGATTAATTTTACTAGAATGTAGGTAATTTTTAGTTGAAAGAGTTTTACATTTTCCGTATACATACTGCCTCTATGTCGACGTGCATTTATTTTACATTATAAGAAATTATATATATATATATATATATATATATATATATATATATATATATATATATATATATATATATATATATATATATATATATATATATATATATATATATTACACTTATAAAGTACAAAAGGCGGTCTTATCGGTAAGCAATCTCTTCCAATCAACATTTGAGTACAACTTGGAAACAAGAAAAAGGCGGTAGCTAATTGACACAATAAATATATCTTACAAAAAAGCTCGTATTAAAAAAACATAAGCAGATAATCATATGAATACCATACATAGATGTACTTTTATATGTATTGTACTTTTTTTTATTTATTTGGTTAAAGTAACAATTTTCTCTCTCATACTCAATTTACTCTTACTACACTGGATTGGCTGGAAGAGATCTCTTTCAGAAACAAACCCATGCTTACTAATAAGTATACCATCAGGTGAGCCGCATGCTCGTTTGCCCGCTGTGTTGTAAAAAAAAAAAAAAAAAGTTTTTAAATTATTTTTTTTACAAGTACAATCATCGTCAATACATATAAAAAAATCGTAACTGGTTGCTGCCTGTACATAATTTATATAAGAAAAACTATTACAGGGAAGCATCATGAATGCAGTATAACCCAAAACAATGATTTTTAGAATTCTTGTCTGTTCGTCTGTACGTTTGAGCACGCTAATCTCAGAAACGGTTTAACCGATTTGAATGCGGTTTTCAATAATGCATTGCGGTTTACTTCATTTAACATTTAGTGTTTGTTTTATTTTAATCGGTTTATAAATGAAAAAGTTTTGTCAATCTAAATAATCACATATAAAATGCTATAAAATAACCGATCAGTTGAATTGGCTGAAACTTTATGAAGGTATTAGGTACGTAATAATTATTTAAAAATAATACAATATAAGACCGGATTTATGAGGAGTTTCAATGAAAATGATATACGGGAACTTATTTGCCAATAGTGGCCACGCTTGGCAGGCGGATTGGCAGCCACAGTCAAGGCTTTAGAGATGTTTTAAGAGGGACGCTGCTGCCCATCCCTCGCCCTCACTTAGTCGCCTCTTACGACACCCACGGGAAAGGAAGGGGTGGCCCGTTCTATGCCGGGACCACACGACTGTGTGTATTTTATTACAAAGTACACTTTACGTGCGTTATCTATCGTGGTACTGAGATATAGAATTTTATCAATACACATGCGAATGTAAATATACGTTTTGCGGTTTACCATCGCAAAAATGTTAAAAAAAAAAACTTGTTTGTATTTGTTATCATATCCACAATTTATTGTAATCTGACAAATAAAGGTCTTTTTATGTACTAGCTCTATTTAGCGGCTTTACCCGTATGAATCAGGTTGACTGGTAAAGAATGCTACTAGTATTAATAATATATATATATATATATATATATATATATATATATATATATATATATATATATATATATATATATATATATATATATATATATATATATATATATATATATATATATATATATATATATATATATATATGGGCGAGATATCTATAGGCGACGGTTACTACTTTCCATCAGGTGAGCCGTCAGCTTATTTGCCATTCTAAGTTGCATAAAAAAAAATTAAGTCCACCTTTTGTACTATATTCTCTTTTGATGAATAAAGTTATTTAAATAAATAAAATCAATACATAAAATATCCTATGTGCTAAATCAGGATATACACTACCCGTGTATCAAATTTCATTTAAATAGGTTTAGTAGATTTTGCGTGAAAGAGTAACAAACATATATCCATTCGTCCATGGTTACAAACTTTCTCATTTATTACATTAATGGGTTATTATTTTAATAGATGTTATTTGAAATACAGTCAAAAAACATTTGAGCCATTTGTTTTAAATTTAAATAGTAAAGTTATAAAGTTAAACAGTTTTTCCTCTATTTTGTGGTAAACATAATCGTAAGTGTGGTAAACTAACATATTATTATTTACATTAATTTTTAAGCGACTTCCTAATGTTTCTTATATCATCCGTTTTCTTTTTTATAAGCATGTTACACAATATCTATGGTAATTCTAAACCATTTTTGTAAATTATACTGCAATCAATGGGATTTATTTCCGTATTGATCCTGTGTTAACGTTGTCACTATTGTAGCCACTTTTTTTTGTTGCTTAGGGAATTTACTTTAAAGTATTGTATAAATTACATAAATTTTATAATACAATATATCTGTGAAACATCTTATTACCACACCTACCCTCTTCAAAAGAAAGATGCTATTATAGGTAAATCTTTTTTTTTTATTAAAATTTACTAATTTGTAGTTTGGACACTGATGGTAATGCAGACTTTTCGTAATGCAACTTGATATAAGTTCTGACGTAAGTGAAAAATACATTTTCATTTGTTTTTATTTTTACAAATAATAGTAATTTTGTATTCTAATTAATGGAAATAGTAATAAAAGTATTACTTCACTTTTATGTAACACGTGCGCATATTATACCTATCATACATATTAATAATTCAATACACAACATTAAATAACCGTTGAATAAAACATTTCCTAAAACAAGTCAAACCCCTTTCTTTTACTTGAAACGAGTTATAAAATGTTAATTAATGTTACATTTATTTTCCTATTACGTGTGGTTATTATGTAAAGAGACAAAAAAAAAAAAATAACTAACAGCTACTTCACATTTTATATGAACAAATTGTAATAAACCTCGTTGCATTTTAACTATAATTAACACCGTTATTAATACTTATAATTCATATTTCATATACAGAAAACCGTTTCACACCTCTAGTTGAGTCGTTAGTAATATTAATTAGATTTTTAGCTAAAGAAAGATTTGTGATCAGCATGTCGTTAGTTATTTCAACTTAACACGTTTACTGCTATTCTCTACATCACTATTATTTTAATTTAATTACTAGCCGAGTTGTGACAACCATAGTTCAACTAATTAAAAAAAAAGAGAACTCAAACCTCCCGTCATTCCAAAAATAAAATTCCTTTCTTAAACTATATCCACTACACAACACATAACTGGTCACATAAAATTCACAATAAAACCACTAAAAAACTATGCTCGATTTTTTAAACATTCTAATTTCGAAAACGCGCGCCGAATTCTAAGGACCCGCTCACACCGAGATGTTGCAAGCGGGCCATCGGGGGAACAACTAGGAAATGAACACAGGCGCGTGGCACACCAGCAAACGAAGGCTACAAGTGTGTGCAGCGCGCTTGTTCATGCATGCCTGTATGTATTGTGGAGGTGCATTTATTTTGACAGGCACATGTGAGTTTATTTATAGGCCTATGCGTGCTATATGGCACACGTTTGTGTGCATATTTTTATAGCGGAATCCTGGCTATTGTTTTTGCAGTTAACGATTACAATGTTAATTTTATGTGTTTGAGAGTATATTAGATACTTTTTGAATAACAATCGCATAGTGTCTAACTAGAGAACAAAAGCGGATAATGAAAAGCAGCTAATGGCGATCCGGTGCAACAATTAAAATTTTAATCAATTCCATCGTACTATTCAAAATGGGAGATTAAAAATCTCGGCATAGAAGCTATGTAGCGGTTCCAAGAGAAAAATGTTACGCGGCAAAATCACAACAACCGTTATTACATAACAGTCTGTTGGAAAGAGAGGTGCAGTGGCCGGTCGATGCATGATGAAAAGAAACGACGCTATAGCAAGTCAGGTTGTGTAACTACACAGAGAAAGCTCACACGTACTTTCTTTGTACATAATAAACACTGCCTCACCGCTTTGATACTGCAGGCGCTTGTGTGCGCTAGTCTTTACATTTTTGAATTTCGAACTAAAGAGCGTAAGTGGCGGGTGCAATTTTTCAAAATGGAACTCTTTTCTGAAATATGCGAGGTGGAATTTCAAACGTTCGCAGTGTAGGCAGTAGGTTTATTTTCGGGTTGTCCGAAAGATGCATAGCTGCTTTTTGAAGAGGTTCAATGACACGTGGTTTGGCATTAGCCCGCTGATTTTTTTCCGCCATAATGTAGGCATAGTCGAAAAGTGCACAAAAGACGTTTTCACTGAACTAAAACTAGGGCATGCGTAGTTGGACATATTTTTTCTCAGCGATCGATTTTTCCAAGAAAGACGAGGATAAAAGTACGTGTATTTAGTCGTTGAATGTTTGTTACAAACAATAGCCGAGTTGATGATTTGTCAGTAGCAAGAATTGACCGAAAATGAGGACAAATAAATGACAGGGCAATAAATTATAATTTATATAGTTTTGCTATTCGACGAAAGATGGCGTTGCGAATATTCAGCACAACGATATTACATTATGCGATGATCCTAATAAAAACGTCATTTATGATCAATAACACTACATACAAAATAATAAAATATAATAAATAAATTATCTATGGCATAATTATTACTAGCGAAGTGACTTTCCCGCCAAAATCGCCCCTAAATTACAAACAAAATAAAAATATAAGGAGAATAAATAATAGGCACGTATATACATAATATACAGAGAAAACGTTACATTTCATTGATATATTAATAAATATATACGCATTAGGGCAACATTATTGTCCTATATTTATTAAATGGTTTTGTTAATATATAAATACAATAGAATTATAAAATTTGAACCGACAAAAGCTATGAAATTTTATCTCGAAGTAGTTAATATACTGCACATCGCTATTGCATCACAGCGAAGGAAGTGAAATAACAGCCATAATATTTATATAGCTATCTCCTTCCGTCGATGTGTCGTCATCTTTGTCACACGCACTGCGTTACTCATTAGGAGAGCGGAAGCGTGCGTCATATATTTATACTTGTCGCGCGTCTGCTACCGCGTATATGTCTATCTCGCTCGTGCAAGGCAACGAAGTGCATTGACCTGTCCTTGTTGTGGTAGTGTGCAGCCTTGCTTTACTGTTACATGATGTTTCTATGTAGTGAGCGTGCATCTTAAGGGCAGATCCACACGTAGCTATTTAAATTTAAATATAAAAATAATTTTATTAATATATTCAATTTAATCACAAATTTTCAACGGATGTGATTGATGTATAGTATCGTTAACGTAAACATACTGTATTGTATTCATATTATACTTGTTCAATAATTCTGTTGGGAAATAAAGGGATGGTCCGGTCGACCTCCATCCGGCTCTCTCGGGAAACCACCATAGTTTAATTATTGTTGATTTGTCACGATGGGCTATTTGACCTGCTTCATCCTCATCTATCATCCCTTACTGGCGCTCTTGTGTATAATGATAGCACAGGTAGGGTTACTATATTATTTTCTCCTATTAAAAAGATCTGTTAAAAAAATATATTAATAGATATTGTTTCAATTCTATACCATTGTATAATATATTTAGTGGTATAGCGATTTAAAACACTGTCTCGTCATCTGATGATCGCGGATTTGATGCCCGTAGAATACAAAGATTTATCTTCATGATTATCACTGTTTGTATTGATCTCGGTGAATTCTGTGATGTATAGTATATACGTATTTAAAAAAAAAGTATTGGTAGTATTAGCGCTGCTCAGTTTAAGACTAGAGGGCGCTGTGTGTATAATCGTCATCATATCAACCTTTAACTATCCACTGCTGAATATAATCTACCCTTTGAGGAGATTTGCCAGTAGTTGTCATGCTTGGCAGGCTGATTAGCAACCAAAGTTAGCCTTTAGCGTTTTAAGCTGTTACCTATCCCTCGTCCTCCCTTAGTCGCCTCTTACGATACCCACGGGAAAAGAAGGGGTGGTCCATGCAAGGACACGACAATTATTTTAAATAAATAGGTCCACCGTGTGTCTGTATAATATATCCAGTATCATTTATCATTATCGTATTTAATCTGAAACTTCAGTAAATTTACGTGATTAACTTGAATTTTTAAATCAAGGTTTATTGTAAAGTTCAAACGATATGAATTTGAAATGAATCTTCATGGAAACAATCAGTAGTATCAATCATGTTATGTTTAAAATCATTTAATAACGATCAAATGATGATGATGATAGATTGGCATGAAACGATATTTCATTATTATTAATTTATTTTAACAATATTCAAATTCAAAATAAAATACAGGACATTACATTCCTTGTACTGTATCGGTATATGTGCATGTTTTAGTTGAAGAACTATATTTTAGTTTATATATATATATATATATATATATATATATACTATATTACTCTATAATTATAAAATTCCCATATTAAAATTATATAATTTCAGTAAAAGGTAGAAGAAGTACAGATTATATTCGCAGTAATAATAGTTAAATCAATAAATAATTATCTTTAAATATCCTATTTCGTTTGTAATCCTTTGGAGGTAGCAATAAAGCATATTTGTTAGTGCATATTTTATTACTGTATTCTTATTATATCTGTTTATTTAATTATATATCAAAATTAATTATTGGACGTAGTATGGATGTTGTAATTGCTATAAAAAAAAATACAATAATGAAATAGATACTTTTGGAAAATTAAAAATTTATTTATTTATTTATTTTACATAATTGGTTATGATTATGTTGGTACTTTATATCTAATAACGTATTACAAACATGTTTCACTCATTAAAAAACAACTAAATACGAAACCTTTTTTACGCATGGGTTATTCCGGTCCTCTCAATTCGTGGTCACGTAATGCTTACCTGTTGACAAGGAAAATCATCTGATTAGTATTACACAACGGAATATACATATAGAAAAATAATGTTTTTGTAAGGATAAGATAAAGGGCGTACAATTTTTCAACAAACCCTTAAATAATTAGAGTATCATATAAAAAAGGTAAAATCATTATATTGAGATTTTTTAACGACACAATATTTTAAATAATAATTTATAATTGCATCAGTCAATAGCTCTACACCGCTGAACGTAGTCCTCACCTTATTAAGAGTTTTGCCAATAGTTGCCATGCTTGGCAGGCGGGTTGGCAACCGCAGTTAGGCTTTAGTGATTTTTAAGAAGGACGCTTCTGCCCATCCTTCGACCATTAAGTTCTCTTAGTCGCCTCTTACAACCCCCACGGGAAAGGAAGCGGTGGTCCATGCAGGGACCACACGATAATTATTTAAAAAAAAAATATATTAGAAAATTGCTGATATAATCGTCAGTAATATATTTCGTTTTAAATAACATATTTTTTTTAATATTTGTTAATTTTAAACGTATATTGATAATTATATTTTAAATCAATCCCTTCGTTGTGTCGGTCTCATATAAATTTTGTTGTTATTGAAATTATTTATCTTGTTGAGCAAAATCTACTTCCATAAAAAATCCTTCAAAATGTACGGAAACAGTTTTGAAAACAGTTAAACTTCTAATAACAACAAAACTTTATGTACAATAAAAAAAAGTAGCAACCATCCTGAAAATCCAATTGGAATATATGGAACCGCCCTAACTACGCTACGGTTATAAAAAAAAACTTGCGTCACAGTCCATAAAAAATGTCTGCGAGGCGTCAACGGTGTTACATCACTATTCTGTTACTCGCGAACCTGTGTGCGTTTCTCCACGTAATTCAACACTACACATGTGCATTCGCACACTACACACACACACCAACGTGTAGTCTACGCGTGTGTGCCTAATCTTTTGTGGAATGCGGGCTTCATACCTTTAATGAATGCTTTTTAATGAAAAGGGAAATATGCCTCTTTCAAGTTTTCAGTTTCCAAGAATTTTCTGATGATTACGCTTACGTTAATTTTAGGTTTGACTTACTGACGAAATGTAAGCACGTTTCAGTGTACGCTGCAAATGTGCTTGGTGCTTATTTTGTTATTTTTTCGTGGTATATTATACACGTATTAGCGGGGGGGGGGGGGGGGGAAGGGATTGTTAGTAATGGAGATTGAGAATCCCATTGCTAGCAGTATACCCAACCAGGTCGACCTCCTCGCGGTTCCCCCTGGAAACTATCATGGTTAATTCCTGATGAATTCATCATGATGGGCTAACTGGCCAACTGTTTTCATCCTCATCTATCACCCTTCACTGGTGCCCCGCCAGCGTATCCCGTTAGCGCAGGCTACTATTCCATTTTCTACCAATAAAAAAAAACACATATTAGCGCAAATTCCAGTTGTACAAAACGAGCATTTATTTTTTTACTATAGTTATAGTTATTTTTTTATT